GCAGTGGTATGCTTGGGTTTAGTTTTAATTTTATTAATTATAGGATCCCAAGCAGGTGGTAGTACCCAGCCTCCTTCTCTATTGAAATTAGGATGTTTTTTAATTTCAATAGCCTCACGTATCATCCTTGGTAGGAATCGATGTTCTTTCGCGAGGATTTGTGGTCTTTCAAATCTGATGTAATGGTTGGGGCCATCTAGAATATGATCGCAAACTGCAGACTTCCCGGAACGTTGATGCTTCACGTCAGCTATGTGTTCTTTTACGCGGGTTCTAATTGATCTCTTTGTTTGCCCTATATATGAGAGACCACAATCACAATCAAGCTTGTACACTCCTGCATCTTGTAGAGGAATATGACACTTGACGGATGGTAAAAACTGACTAATCTTCTTCGGCGGCTTGTAGAATGTTCTAATAGAAGCTCGCTTTAAGATGTAGCCAATCTTGTCTGTGACACCTCTGACATATGGTAGTATAGCAGGCGCACGCTCGACTGTGGCCGGCTTCACTCGGTCACTGTGACGGAGGCGCGGGATCCGAAGCTTGTTGTCGTGCAGAACCTGCTTGACGTGCTGAAGCTCGGCGGCCAGGTGTTTGCTGTCACAGATCCCTCGTGCTCTCTGAAACAAAGATTTGCCCACGGTAGCTAACTGTGAAGGATGATGGTGAGATTCACCATTTAAGTATCGGTTTGTATGGGTCTTTTTTCTATACACAGTATGACCTATGGTGTTGTTAGGATTTCGGATGACTAACACATCTAGGAAAGCTAAGGAATTATTTGCCTCTAACTCCATAGTAAATTGAATTTTAGGGTTTATGGAATTAAGATGTTCTAAAAATGCAGTTACTTTGTCTGATGGTAAAATTGTGAAAGTATCGTCTACGTACCGCTTGTAGAACCTTGGGGTAACAGATGCAGTAAGGAGGGCTTTCTCCTCAAAGTCTTCCATGAATATATCGGCGACAATGGGAGATACAGGTGAGCCCATCGGAACACCATCTACTTGCTTGTAAAACTCTTCCTTCCACAATAGATAGCCAGATGTAAGGCAATGTCTTAGTAGTACTGCATATTCTGGTGGCATGTTATTTTCATCTAGTTTCTTAGTTGTAATTGAGATGCAGTATTCAACAGGTAGGCATGTAAATAGAGACTGAACATCAAAACTGACCATGGTTTCATTGTCAGCAAGACGTAGGTCTTTTATCTCACTGACAAAATGGTATGAATTCTTAGTATGTGCTCTTGTGTGTCCTCTGAGTGGTGATAATATTTTGGCTAAGTGTTGAGCCAATCTGTACGTTGGCAAATCGATTCGCCAACGGCGACGACGGCGACGGGGTCATATATAGGGCAAACAAAGAGATCAATTATAACCCGCGTAAAAGAACACATAGCTGACGTGAAGCATCAACGTTCCGGGAAGTCTGCAGTTTGCGATCATATTCTAGATGGCCCCAACCATTACATCAGATTTGAAAGACCACAAATCCTCGCGAAAGAACATCGATTCCTACCAAGGATGATACGTGAGGCTATTGAAATTAAAAAAACATCCTAATTTCAATAGAGAAGGAGGCTGGGTACTACCACCTGCTTGGGATCCTATAATTAATAAAATTAAAACTAAACCCAAGCATACCACTGCAAGACTTCAAAATACAGTAAGTTCATTCTGCGTAGATCGGACCAAAGACAATAATTAAAAAGCTGAAGGTACTCCGGGTTAACTTTGACATCGGGACGTCAGTCACCTCAGTCCCCCGTGACCATGGGTGCTGGAAAGCACCCGAAACGTCGGGTATTAAAATTAATATAAATAAAACGCGATAAAATCCGTAAAAGTAGTTTTAATCAATGCTTACAATCATGTATGTTACAATTAACAACACAAGACAAATTAGAAATTGCTTGTTAACGATCACCTTTCCCAGGGGTTATTATCATCCATAAATTTCTTGGTAGTTTAATAATACTTTTTATACACACTTAGTTCAATAAAGTTTTTGAACTTTGAGCAGGTCAAATTTTGTATATTTTCCGCGAATTTGTTGTAAATGTGTATACATCGTATCGCCCCAAGAATGAATTACTGACTCGGTGGTGAGTGGTAGGGAGAGAGAAGGTAGTGTAATCACCCACCCGCCTGACAAGAGTATTGGTTACATATGAATCAGAAAATATTAATAAAAGGAAAACAATAAAGCAATCGTATTAATTTCATTCATTTGTCGATCAGCATTAAGCTACGAATACGAAACGATAGATTAATTTACGATGAACAAATTAAATTGAAATAAAAAAGGTATTAGAAATATAAAAGAAAATAAATTAAAAAGAAAATGAAGAAGAAGAGGAAGTAAAAGATTATGAGCATAAAAAAATTCCACCGCCAAACAGCACAGCCGCACTGTCCGCACTGTTAAAGTGTAAAGTGTGAGGAGAGCTAGTGTAATTAGAGGCTGTGACTGTGAAAAGTTCCATCTCAGTCTT